TCTCTGTAAGTCTGCTTTTCAAATAAATAAAACAAATCTTTAAAAATGAAAAAGAAAGAAAGAAATTTAACTGTTACAACCTGCCTGCTGCTTATTTTACTTTGATGCTGTGAAATACACTTGTCAGGGCTTTGGACCTAGAATTTACTCACTGGTTGTGTGCCCTTGGGCAAGTCACTGAAAACAGTGCCTGTGGGAAGTATTCCTGCTTTTCCAAAACAAGCAAAGAAATCAAAATAAAACCTCACTGCCTCAGGAGGCTGTGGTGGGGATTAAATAAAATAACAAAAATAGCTGTGGCCTGGACAGCATGCTAAGCGTTGGGCTTGTTGTGTTTCATTCCATCCTCGAAAACCCCAGGACATTGGGGCGATTTTCTCTCTTACTTCGTAGACGAGGAAATGACTGGGATGTGTTCAGTAACGTGTGCAGGGGCTCTGGGCCATACCAGGCTCTGTACCTGGCACTGTACGTGGAAGAAGCTAGGTAACAAAAGCAAAGACAAGAGCTTGACTGCCCAGGTGCCCCAGGGCAGTCTCTGCCCTGTCTGGGCCTTATCAGGAAGAAGAGGGAAGGGTTGGGGTGCTGGGTGAAGGTGGTGAGGGTGTCAGCGTTTTGGGGTGTCTGGACATCTCAGTGAACATATGTCTCCCCGGCCTCCTCTGGAGTCCGATGCCTCCCGTTGTCCATTCTGTGGGGATGAATGTGCATTTCTGTTTGTTTTAATAACATTTGTAGGAGCTTTATATAGTGTCTGTGTCTGCTTACATTAGACGCTGTGTATTATAGTTAAGAGTCTTTCACTATTTCCCATATAAACCTTGTTTTTTATGGGTTCGGGAGAACTCAGCTGTAAAAACTCTCCACTGGAAAAAAAAATTTTTTTCAAACAAATTGGGTTTAAATCAGAAGGCTAGTTTCAGACACTTTAGAGAGTACATATTTTTTATTCCCAGTCACTTTTCATTTAAAAATGAGGCTGGCTGATTCCTTAGTTTCATTTCTTTTATGAGGATTTAGCAAGACTGTAAGCTCAACTGCTGGTCTCATGGAGAGTAGTCATCCATCCAGTGCCTTTTCCAAGAGAGCTCTGGGCCTGGAGCCTGCAGGCCTGCCTTCTAAGTCCCAGCTCAGGGGGCTCTGGCCTCCGGAACTGGTCCCTTCAACTCCCTGAACCTTCTTTTCCACCTCTGGCGATGGGGAGCATTGTTCCTGTTGTGCACACACACACACACACACACACGCTTTCTAGTTTGTGGACAGGCAAATGTGCTAATGGAAGTGCAAGCACCCAGGACAGGAGAAAACTGGATGTGCAAGTGCCAGAGGCTGCTGAAATCAGATTTCTGGGCATAGAATGTTGTGGTCAGGAAAGAACCTCGAGATCTTGTAGCTCACCCTCTGCCTCATAGATGGGATTCACTCGGAGAACTGGCACAGAAAGAAGGTTCCAGAATAAGGCCGGGGTTAAAACCCTGGACTCCCGTGAGTATCTCCTTCCTTTTCTCTTCTTCTACCTACTTTGGGAACCAAGGAAGATCAGATTGGGAGAAACTGTATTTGGCTGCACGTGTGCACACATGTGCATACACACACACACAATGTGGGAGAAACCAGGTCTCTGAACACAGCCAGAAGTGCATTTTGATCCAAGCCCTACTTGCCTTTCGTGGTCTAAGTGACCTTGAACAAAGTCCTTCACCTCTGAGTTTCAGCTGCCTCCATGTTGACCTCAACAAAGCCCCTGTGAGGCTTATAGGAAATAATGCACGCTCAGGGTTTACATCATTTAGTTGATAAGTTAGCTATTATTATTATTATAATTTCATGCATCAATAGGTTTTAAATGTTTGAAAAAACACTTTCCTATGTTGATGGGATAATAAATTCCTTAAGATATTTGCCATTGTGTGTTAATTACTAATTATTATGACTTTTTTTATTCATTGTACTTTTTTTTTTTTTTGACAGACAGAGTTAGACAGTGAGAGAGAGACAGAGAGAAAGGTCTTCCTTCCGTTGGTTCACCTGCAAAATGGCTGGCGCGCTGTGCCGATCCGAAGCCAGGAGCCAGGTGCTTCCTCCTAGTCTCCCATGCGGGTACAGGGCCCAAGCACCTGGGCCATCCTCCACTGCCTTCCTGGGCCACAGCAGAGAGCGGGACTGGAAGAGGAGCAACCAGAACAGAATCTGGCTGCCCCAACCGGGACCAGAACCCGGGGTGCCGGCGCCGCTGCAGGTGGAGGATTAGCCAAATGAGCCGGGGCACCGGCCATTCATTGTATTTTTGCCCTCTGCCTAGCATGAGGTGAACACTCAATAAGAGGGTGTTTAATAAAGTGAGAACACTGTCGAAAGTACCCTGGGAACAGGAGAAATTAGAAGGAAATTGCAGCTTAATTTTTACTGTGAAAGTAAATCCTTATTCATGGTTTTAAAAAAAATTAGAAAAATATAGCTAAGCAGGAAGAAAAGTGAAAATCACCCTCACTCCCACAAGTCAAAGGTAGAGATGTAAATGTTTGGGTGGATATCTGCCACTCTTTCTCCAGGATTACTTACTTCTGTGTCCATGGGGAGGGGTCACAATAGACAGTATTTTAGCCATGCTTTCCCACTTCCTACATCATGAAGAATTCCCATTCAGTTCCCACATTTTTTTCTCCTTAAAGGTTGAATGGTTACCCACTGGACTAATGGATTTCTTTTACCAATTCTGTAATTACAGCCCATTGGGATTCATTTCCAGTTTTCACTCTTCAAATAGTTCTGTAGTTAAAGCTTTGGCACATCACTATTTCCTTATGACAAATTCCTGGAATTTATTTTTAAGTGCACGACCACTTCATTTCTCCCCTACATAAAAATAAATGATGTATTTAATTCAAAAAGAACAATTGCACGGCTTCTGCAGGGTTGAGGGGTCCTCCAAGCTGCGTAGAAATTTGGGCTGGGGTAAGAAAATGAACTTCCCGCTCTCAAGATATTTTCAAAGGAGCGAAGGCTAGGAAGGAGGGCGGCCCTGGGAGCGGGTAGCAGCGAGGGTAGCTGGATCCTTGCGTAACCTGCCGCCCCACTTTGCAGCTGTGCACCGAGGGCTGGGGACGGGGCCTGGGCGTTCGCTGGCGCAAAGGCCGGCGAAGATTCCGTGAGCCACTTGGGCACCAGCTCTCTTCTCAGCGTCTGAGGTGGGGACCAGACATGGCTGGGACTCCACCCCTCTCTTGCCTCAGAGGGTTTGAGGCCAGGACGGATGAGGTTCCCTGCAAACGCCTGCTCTGCCCGACGCGGCACCCCTCGGTACCCTTCTCCTTCTCCAGCAAGGAGAGCACACGGGTGCGCATTCTTCCCGTGCCTTGGATATTTCCCGAGCTAAAAATAGTCGCGGGAGCTGGACCCCTTGTAGAGCCCCAGAGGTTTGTCTGTGACAGGAAACGGAGTCCTGGGTTCGAGTCTACTTAAGGTGCCCTCGGTGCTGCGAGACTGGCACCCTGGGTCTCAGTTCCCCCACGCGGGCCAGACTTTCTAAACTGCTGATTTCTAAACGCTCTGGGAAAGAAAAGGAAAGAAACACGGGTTTTTCTTTGTGCTCCTCCCGGAGGGGCCTTAGGGCCTCCGGCCCGGGCTGAAGCCGGGGGAGGGGTGCGCGGGACCGGCTCATTACCGCGAGGTGTTGCCCTCGTTAAACCGCGGGCCCGTTTGATCTGGCGGCGGGAGCGAGAGGGAAGAAAGAACAAACTAAGGATGGGGGAAAGTTGGATGACGGTCACACCTCCCCCACCGTTTCCTCGCGCCCATAAAACACCTTTTATTAACTCCTTCGTGTCCGGGAAGGCCTGCGTGGCCTGTCAGCCCCCGCCACGGTGTTTACAGTCTAGGCTAATGGGGCCCCGTATTCACCCCTTGCCCGGATGAGGCGCCCGGGGCACGCCCGGTGTTGCGCGAGGCCCGGCCCGGGAGCCGTCCTGGGGTTCCTTTCTGGTTCGGGAGGCGAGCGCATAAGCTGCAGGCGACAGCACCCTGGGACCGCATGCGTCTTCCCGCCTCCTTCGCAGGGAGCGCGGGAGACCGGGGCCGACAAGGCGAGCGCACCTCGGGCAGTCCTTGGGAGCTGTTAGGGGGAAGCCTAGTACCCGGCGCACAGTCGATTGCAAGTCAACTCACTGTCCATTATTACTACGGACACGTAGCCGCCCGCGTTTGCCCTGCTGTAGCCCAACACGCATCGGCGCTCCTAGGCAAATGCACCCACACATTTGTTTAGGCGCACGTCCAGCCAGAGGTGCGCGTGTGAGGCCCCAGAGGCCCCTGTCCCTGAATTAGCAGCGACTCGCGCACTGCTTCGCTTTGCACAAGTCCACACGCTCTGTGTTGGGATGTCCCGTTTCCAGAGAGAACCCTTAATGTCTCCAATTAGGCATAATCGCTTCCAAGCCTACCTTACTCACCTGTGATGTAACAGGGGCGGCGACTTGTCCTTCATGCCTGCAGGGAGCTGTGCTAAGCCGACCCTCGCAGCCCCTTGGCAGTCTCCAGGTGCCCTGAGAGTGGCGGCACCGGCCCATGTACACTTCCATGTTCAGAATTTCACACACGGGAATATTCCTGAGCGAACCCTCTTTCAGAGCCACCCTGCCCTGCAGATGCCCTTTCTGTGTGAGATAGACCTCCTCCCTCCCCAACAACCCTTCTCCCCCAAACCACTGTAGGCAGGGAGCAGGATGCTACTAACCCACAGACAAGGCGACTGGACTTCCATGGAAGCCTCTGGATCTGAGCCGCTTCCCTTTTTCTTCGCTCGGGGCTGAAGGAAGTTATCCCGCCCCGTTGTCAGATTCTAGGGAGAAAGTTCTACTTTCTTGGAATGAATTTGCTCGCCGGTGCTTGGTGCTTACCCATCCAGCAGGGGCGGGAGCGGGGCGGGGGGGGCTCTGCTGCTGGCAGAAACCACGGAGTCCCCACGAAGAAGCCGGCGGAGACACCACACAGGCTTTGGGGCACGTCAGGAAACGTTTTATTAGTCACGAACATACATACTGCTTTGGCAAGGGGAGGGCGGTGAGTGGTCACACAGATCTGAGGTAGAAGAGGGGTGGGCATGGGGGGCGGGGAGACACAAACACCTGAGCACAGGCACCGTAGGTAGTTTAAATACATAAAAACTTCCCGCACAGGGAAAAGTTTTTATTTACAAAGAAAGGAAAGGAGAGAGAAAGGACGAGAAGAGGAGGAGAGAGTGTTGTCTTTGGAACTAAGTAGGAAACGCAGCGACGCAAAGAAAACAGAAAACCCGCTGCTGAAAGGAAGACAACAAAAGGCAGCCCTCCGTCTTCCTGCTTTTGGTTCTCTTCCCAGACAGAGCCGCTGATTCTTCTTAGAAAGAGAGAGAGAGAGAGAAAGAGAGGGCGCCGTGGCCGTGGCCCTGGGCGTTCTGATTTCGCCCCAGAAGGGCCGGCAGGCTGCATCTTTGAGCGCCTGGTTCCGCAGTGCCCGTCTCCTGCCTCGAGCCGCTGGGAGCCGCCCTCGGTTAGGGGAGGTGGATATATATATAGATAGATATATATATATTTCTCTTTCTCTTAATGTATTAAAAACAATTTCAAATGACATTGCACGTGCGATCCAAGTGTGTGGTTGCAGCCGGCGACCTGCCAGCGCTCGGCGGAGGCTCGGCGGGATGCACTAGCACAAACCGCCGGAACTCGAAGCCTGGCCTTCGCCGCCGCCGTCCTCGCGTCCCGGAGCTCGGGGGTCAGCCTGCCGTGGCCAGGGCCTCGGCGCGGGCCTCGGCTCACTGGTTTAACTCCAGAGCCCAGACTTGCTGCGGCCAGCCGGTGCGCCCTTTAATCCTCTTCTCTCCTGGGCCCAGGGCGGGAGGAAAGCCTTCGTGTTGCTGCTGTCAAAGAACACACACGGGGAAAGGGGTAGAGGAGAGATGGATTTAAATTTTTCTGCTCCGATAGCCCCTCATGGAGTGTGTGGGAGAGTAGGTGTCGGGAGCAGTAACTGGGAGTCTTTAAATAAGTGACGGATTTCTGTTTGCAAAACAGGCAAACAGGCTCATAAATTTGCCTTTATGCGCCGAGTTCCTGGGACCGGGAATGGGCTGAGCAATTTCGGAAGGTTTAGAACGGAGGCTCCACTGCGGCTGACGCGCGTTGGCTTGGCCTTATGGCGCCCACGGGAGACCGTAGAGGGGCGGAATAGGAAGGCTAGGAACCGGCAGTCTTTCGGTGGCGCGGACCTGCCCCCAACCCCGTGCGCCCACGGTCCCACCGACCAACCAGCCTGGCCCAGCGTCTGGGCTTGGAGACGGAATTAGGACCCCTCGCGCTACAGCTGGGAGCCCCAGCCTGAGGGGAAGGAGGGCGAGTCCGCCAGGCTTCTGCCTTCCCGCTCTCGCAGCAGGAACCAAGCGGTGCTACGTGGGGGAGCGGGATCCGCCCAAGAACTCCTTCCAGCCAGGCGTCAGCCCGGCCTGCCACTCCTGGAGCCTAGGGCGGCTGTTGGAGACTGGATGCCTATCTCCCTTTCGCCGGTTCCCGGGGTGAACTTTCCCTACTTTACCACAGGCCCTTGCCGGTCAGATAAAACCCCAGGGAGTGCTCCAGTCGGCTCCATCGCGCTCCGGCCCGGAGGTACCAATCTGGGGAAACCAGTTCTCCGGCCTGGAAATCACCGCACTCCTCTGACACGCAGCAGCCCTCTCTGGGCAGCGAAACTGAGCGCCGGACAGTATCACCCTCACGCCAGAGGACCAAAAAGGTGGAGTAGTGATGGCGATTTTCAAAGCCAAAGCCGAGCTTGTTGGCATGACATCCAATGCAGCTGCCCGTGAAATCAGTCCCCTGGAGACAGGAGCCTGAAGCTGCGCTCTGCCAGGGAATGGAAGACCTGACCCGTTTACCCCAGCTCCACCTCTGATGCCTCAGGTAGGTGCCTTCACTCTGCGCCTCAGTTTCCTCTCCTGCACAATGATAGACTACATTTCCAGCAATGAGCTTTTAAAAACATTAAGAGCCTACATGGTCATTACTCATATTTAAGCAAATCACTGAACTCCTACCCAGTTTCTGAACCCGGCTTCCAGGAGATCCCAGAGATGGATCAGGATGCCTCCAAGTAAGAAGTAAAAATGTGTGGTGTGTGTGCATTTCCCCAGGCCAGAGGCTTTCAGTGGGTTTTAAGGGGCCCAGAGCTCTTTCCCGAAGGGTTAAGATTCTGGGTCATTCAGTCTATCCCACGTCATGAATTAAGTCAGTTATGAATTTGCCCCCTACACACATACATCATGACAACCTCGGAACCCCAGGCAGCCATGCAAAGCGGCACACAAACTTCTGCTTGCAAGGCCTGCAGTGCGCCCACCACACCCGCATCCTTGGCTAGAGCAGGCTGGCCCCAGGACTCACCAGCTCCCTTTTCCGTTTGCTCTCACGGCCGCCATCCACCTTCTTGAGTTCAGCCTTGAAAGCCTCGGGGTCTCCGGCCTGGGCATCTTTGGCCAGCACGTCCATCAGGTAGGCGATGTAGCTGGTGGCCAGTCGCAGGGTCTTGATCTTGGAGAGCTTGGTGTCAGCGGGCACGTTGGGGATGCACTCGCGCAGCTCGGCGAACGCGCTGTTAATGCTTTCGGTGCGTCTCCGCTCCTTCTTGGGTCCTGAGCCCTTCCGCCGGCCCAGGCGGCCCCCGAGCGCCTCCAGCCGCCCCGGGCTCTGGCCAGGCCTGGCGTCAGGACCATAGGTGGCGGCGGCCGCCGCGGCGGTGGGTGGAGGTCCGCCAGTAGGGAAGTCCGGGGCTGCGTCAGCCGGGCTCAACAGCCAGCTCTGGAAGTAGGGCCGCTCCTGGTGGCAGCGCGAGGCCGGGCCGAAGAGGAAGGGCTCGTGGAGCATGGGGTGCGCGGGGTGTGGGTGGTGATGGTGGTGATGGTGTGCGTAGCTGCCCACGAGGTTCATGTTGGAGCGGCTCCTGGCCTGCACCGCCAGCCCGATTAGCACCGCCCCATGCGCTCCAGAGACTGCCCGAGCCACCGGTGGGCTCTGGGGCCGCGCACTGCTAGGTGCCGGCTTGGGGTGGGGTGAGGGGGCGTCAGAGGCAAGGCTAAAGACGAGATGTGCAGCTCTCCGCCTTCTTACGGGTTTCGGTCGCGGGCAAGGCCGCCGATGCTCAAAGACCTGTTTAACCCTTCTGCGGACTTCCCTTCGTGATCTGGCTTATATAAGGCCGCGGCTTTGATGTCAACCTCTCCCTAGAGCCAATGGCAGGGGGGCGGGGAGGAGTAGGAAAGGGGGGGTGGCCGTCCCAGGTTTTACGCCCAGCTAGCGCCACTCGACTCCAGGCGGCCTGCGGGGACAGAGATGGCGCCCCGCCTCCGCCCCTCCCCCAGCGGGGGCTGGGGGCAGCGGCTCCGCGATGGAGGCACAGGCCCGCGAATGTCCTGGCCTGCTGCTGCCACGCTCCCCGGCGACCCAAGGACGAGATCTAGAATCAAGGAGCGAAAAGGTCTTCGCTTAGAGCCCACCCCTTGATTTTGCAGACGGGGAAACTGAGGCCCAGAGAAAGCGAGGGTCGTGTTTCCAGACTGTCCAAAATTCAAGATAGGAATCTCAGCGGTTCGCGGTTGGGAGCTACTACCGCTTGCGGGCGGAAGATGAGAGTGGGCGGCTGGGGGCAGATGGGCCCCGACCGGCTTCGAGAACCCTACCGACTCTGCCTCTGCCATCCGCCCTCTCTTGCGGGATTGGGAGCCGAATGTGTTCGCAGTCGCTCCCAGCCCGCCAATTCTGGCCCTGTCTGGAGCAGACAGACAGACGGCGACTGACCAGCCCAGGAGCCTTTCTGAGGCTGAGGCAGGGGGAGGGGGTGATAGGGACCCGGAGGCGTAGGCAGACTCAAAGCCCACGGGCCTTTCTGATTTGTTGCAGGCTGGAGGGCTTCGATCCACGCGTCCAGCCTCCCAGGCGCGCATGATCCGGCCCAACGGCCGGAGGGGCTGACGCTGAGACAGCCCGGTGTGGGCCTGGGTCCTCGGACAACGACCCTGAGGCTCTCGCAGGACTGGCGCAAGGGGCGGGGGCACGGCTTTGCGGGGTCCACTCCACTCCCTGAAAACGTTTGCATCTCTAAGCTTGCCCCGGGAGTCGTCAGCGTTCCGCCGCAAACACTGTCGCAACCAGGGGGCGACGGCGCGCGCAGCATCAACGAGGCGAACACGGGGCCTCGCACACCCACCGCGCAGGATTTTGATGCGGGCTGCACAGCCCTCCGCGGTCCCTCTGCTCGGGCGAGCCTGATGCTCTCCACAGGGGCTTTCCCGGGGCTGGCGCTGGGAACGTGGGTATCCCCAGGTGGTGACGATCCCGGCTGGGGATTACCTCGCCTTACACTAGCTTCCCTGCTGATGTTCAGGAACCCTCCATCTTTGCCAGCCCTTCCCAGCGCCTCGCCTCGCTCCTTCTCTAGCCGGGCTGCGGGGATCGCGGCTTTGTCTCTAGAGCAGGGAAGAGGGGAGTGTGAATGATTGTCTACGCAATTCACTCCATTCACTCAAACACTTCTCGACGCCCACCGTGCGCCTGGCACGGTCACTTGTCCAAAGGCAGCGGGAGAAAGCTCAACTGTCTTCCAGTGCGGCTAAGGAAAGCGTGGCGCAGAGCCCAGGACGGCTTTTCCTGGAAGTCCGCTAGTGAGTGGCCCCGTGGAAGGCCACTGCTGCGCACGGGACCGAATGGCGTGCGGGGCACTGGGGACAGTCTCTAGTCCTGAGCCAGGCGGCGAGTTCTACCTGGGCGAGCTCGGCGCGGCTGAGGGCCCCAATATTCACGGGGCGGAGGAGTAGGGCGGAGATAGGTGCTGGTTTCCTGCCCGAGGCGGGCTGCAAACCCGCCGCTCTCCCGGCGCCTGGCGCCAGCAGCGCTGGGGTTGGGCTGAGCGCGCAGCCGGAGGCTCGCGGGGAGGGAGCGCCAGGCGCCCGATGCGGCGGCGGCTCCGCGGGGTCCCGCTCCTCTCCAGCCTGCAGGCGCTTCTGAGTGTGAGGATGGGAGAGTAATTACTCCATGGAGACGCACCTCTGCCCACCCACCCCCCACATGCACCCTTTGTCCTAATTTGGGGCACGATCTCCACCCCGCAGCCCAGTCTTTCCACATGCCCACGGAGTCACACAACCTCACCGGCATACACAGAAGCCTATCTATGCAGTCGCCCCAGAGTAAGTGTAGCCTTTCAGTGAGCACATGGACACCCACGCTGCACACCGCCTCTGAAGATTCACTCATTCCTAAGATGTTGGATGTTATCTCTGTCCCCACAGGGTACGGGTCAGATGTGCTACAGCTCAGAGCCACTCCCAGCCCCACACCCAGGCATGCACCCAGGCAGTCACATCAACCGATTCTAAAGAACATGCAGATGCAGGGTTTTCTACAAATCTGAGGGTCCCAGTTACACACAGGTACAACCAGTTTGTGTTTTCCTGCGATTCCCCACAGTTGTACTCACAGCACAAACTTCCAAACCTCCATTTCTTGTATTCTCAGTGTCCCAGCTAAATTTCCAGTGCCACAAGCACACACAAGGACACAACCATGATTAGTATTCTGTATGCACAGGCGCTCACACATAGACATGCTCACGTGTGGGCATGTTACACACAGGCACACAAATTCCACATATTCAATCTGACATGGATTCTCAGCCTTCCCTCCGAAGTCACATTCACAGGCTCTGGAAGTGAAGTTGTACAACGAACGGTATGCACATTATCAGAGTACTCACAATAACATGCACTCCCATGAGTTTGCACAATTACCAATACACAAACGCCGAGCTCCGCACTCACCCGCAGAGCCCCAGTCACTTTCCTCCCAGTACACCCGTCTTGCAGGGCTGCAAACACAGCTGGTTAGTGTGGGGGGAAATGCACTTTCAGAACTGGGTGACAAGCTTCAGCTCCTGGAAACCCCCTTGAGGACCCTGAGCTACACTGGCCATTGAGGAGCACGGGATCCCCAGTCACCAATGCCGCGGGGAGCCCTGCTCCTCACCCCTCCAAGGGGGACCCCAAGTCCTTTGTCCAGTAATGCCCTCACTGATAGTGCAGCTGGGGCTGGGGCTTGCACTGGGCCTGGAGCTGGAGCTGGGCAGTCCATCAGGATGAATGCAGGGAAGACAAGTAGGCACCAAAGCTTTCCAGGAGGCCTCAGAGTGCGTTTAATGCCAGCTGGACTCAGGTGCGTGAGGGCTGCGGGTAGAATGTCCGAACAACGGAGACCTGGAGAACATCTTTTCTGCCTCCACCCCAGGACCTGCGTAAGACGGAGATCTGACGCTGCTTTAGGCTGACTGGCACAATACGTGCCTCCAGTTCCGTCTCTCTCTAGCACCTCGCTCTGTTCCTGTCTGGGTCAAGTCTGTTTCCCCCTTAGCAGAAGAGACTCTAACTGATCGGAGGTTGGACATTCCCAGCCGCCTGCTGCTGCTGCACCTTGGCTGCCTGGGTTCCTCTTCATCGCTGACTCAGTGCCCCTGGGCCCCAGTGGGAGGACTCCTGCACGGACCTCTCTAGCCCAACTCTACAGACCAAGGACTGGGAGGTGGGGGGCTCCAGGGGTCCCGCCAGCCAGCCCCACACTCCTGCAGCCCCCACGCCCTATTGAGTGCCTGAGGAAGCTGGAGTCCTTTCAAATGCAGGCTTCTTTCTCACTTCTCCCTCCAATCACACTAGCGAAGCCAGGCAGGAACTCTTCCTCTGCTTTACAGAGTAGACAGCTTAAACCCACAGAGATTAAAAAAAAAAAAAAAAAGCTTATATTAAAAGAGTACTTAAGAGAGCTCGCTCTGGAATCAGGCGCACCTGGGTTGAAACGGGGCACTGTCCTTCCGTGTGAGCCAGCTCACCCTCGGCTTCCCCCTCTGTCCGTTGAGGATGGTCACTCCTGCCCCAGAGGGCCAGTTTGTAAAATCAAGTAAAATGAAATCGGTCACAGCCCATCTCGATCAACTGCCGCTGGCCATCTTTAGGAATATGAATTTCACAGCGGGCAGAAAGGCAATCAGAGGAACCACAAGATCACAGAGATCTGGATCAAAGCAGGACGCTGGATCACTGGACCCCGCCCGCCCAGTGCGCTGGCTCTGACCCTCGTCCTTTTCTACCCTCTCCCGCCCCTGCAGAACCTAGCCTTGGAAAGGCTGGAGGTGGAGGAGACCAAGTAGCACCAGATGGCCATTACGTTGCCAGAGCCCGAATTCCTGTTCCTGATACCCCCAACTCCACCCGGATTTCCCTCCCTAAATGATGTTGGGCAGAACTCAGTTCCCCTGTCTGTACAGTGGTTCCCCGCAGAACCTGGCGATTTGAAGGTCCCTCAAGCCCAGGGGCTCTGCACAGGGTCCCTCCCCTGTCCTCTCCCCTCTCTTCTGGTCACCCCCAGCCAAGACCAGCAAGCCTCGGAGAGCCCGCGCCGCGGCGCCTACCGCAAAACCTTCTCCCGCCGCGTCCCGTGACCTTGACGCCACGGGCAATCCCCGCACCGGACCCCTTATCTAAATAGGGCAGTAAATCAAGGCCCTGTCAGGGCCCGGGTAATTACAGGAACTCCATAAAAAGGCCCGGGCCGGCCGCCTGTTTATATTAGCGCGGTGTAAAATATTCTCGCTGTCTTGGGGAATCGCGTCGCGCAGTAACGCGCCATAAATCAGCCCGCGGGCCATTTACCCCGCAGCTTGAGCGCGCAAATCCCTTAAACATTTCTCGGCCGAATCCAAAGAGCGTCTAGGACTTTCCAGTCTGGTCCTGGCCTGCTCCTCGAAGCTGGGGGACGGTCGGGGGGCAGGGGGCGGATTTCTCCTGGAAGCTCATAGGATGAGAAGTTTCCTACCTTTCACGAATACAGGAGAGTAGGAAGTTTATTGAGCGAGTGCCGGGAGTTACTTTGTAAGTAGATGCTCAGAGAGGGGAAGCGACTTCCTTAAGGGCACAACAGCAGGCGAATAGCAGAAGAGCTGGAGCTAGGCTTTTTTTTTTTTTTTTTTTTTTTTTTTTTTTTTTTTTTTGTATTTATTATTGCTGTGGTATAGGAGGTTAAGCTTCACCTGCAGTGCCAGCATCCTATGTAGACCCTATGTGGACCTATGTGGTTCAAGTCCTGACTGCTCCACTTCGGATCCACCTCCCTGCTGATTCAGCTGGGAAAATAGTGGAGGATGGCCCAAGTGCTTGGGCCTCTGTACTCACATGGAAGACCGGAAAGAAGCTCCTGGCTTCAACTTTTCCAGCCCCAACCTTTGGGCCATTTGGGGAGTGAACCAGCCCAGCAGATGAAAGATCTCTAAATAAATAAATCTTTTGTAAAAGATTTATTTGTTTATTTGAAAGGCAGAGTGAAAAAGAGGGAGGGAGAGATAGAGATTTATAGAGAGATCTTCCATTTGCTGTTTCTTTCCTCAAATGGCCCAAACAGCCTACTGGGGCTGGGTTGGGCCAGGCTAAGCTGGGAGCTGGGAACTCCATCCAAGTCTCCAACTAAGGTGGCAGGCACTCAAATACTTGAGCCATCATCTGCTGCCTTCCCCAGGCACATTAGCAGGAAGCTGGACGGGAAACAGAGCAGCTGGGACTCTGGTATCATAAGATGCTTGTGTCATAAACCGTAGCTTAACCCACTGCACCCCAATGCCAAACCCAACCCCAAGACTAGACCTTTAGAGGGAGCTGGGATTGGCAATAGCCTCTGTCTCATCCTGATCGCTCCTTTCCTGGAATGAGGAGCCATCTGGTTAGAGTATCCAAGTTTGAAGCTTAGGGTTCTTGAGTTTCCTGCGACTGTGCATGAAGAAATGTGTGACTTTTTTGTGTGCAACAGGGGCCTCTGATTTCTTGTGCTGTCCCCTTATTTTACAGGTGCAAAGCAAGCACAGGGGATGAGAAGAGACTTGACCAAGGGCACACAGCTAAGAATCTCTAAAAGAATCCATGTCTCTAACAGAATCCATGCTGGTCTATCCCTCTCCTGCCTCCACTGAGAGGGAGAAAATTCATGCGTGTTTGTGGGGTGGGAGGGGGGTTGTGGTGGAAGGTGAGATTATATCCACTTTTTGGTTTCTAATAGTCTCAAAAAAAGTTATCTATTTAAGGCAAATCTCTTGCTGCCCATTGTCTAATGAGTAACGTAATTCAAACTTATGAAAACAGAAGATTAAATTGTCCATGTCTTCCCTCCAGATTTGGAGCAGAAAATTCAAGGGAGAATTAAACATGTATGTGTTTTCTCCCCTTTTTTTCTGCCTTCCTCCCCCCCACCCCACCTTTCCGAAGTCTGTAAATGACAATGTGTTTACACAAGTTTTTATGTCGTCTGAGCTTCGTCCCGGCTCCGTTTCCTCCTCTGTGTATTTTCCGCACAGAGAGATGTCTGCTTCGGGACACATTCAACCTAAACAGAACCCCGTCTGATTGGAAAATGTATTTATTTGAAAAATCGTAACTCACGGTTTTGGTGAAAACGGCCCCCAAATTTATGGGATTGCTTGGGGCGCGGCAGTTGTAAATCAAAAAGTACTCGCTCCCCCCTCCCCCGCCTCATCCTGGAGCAGTTGGGGTCAGCGTTTCCCCAGCACCCAAAGGCCGGTCTCCTCCCAGGCACTCTGCAGCCCCACAAGAGCCTTTGGGCTCCAGTCCCTTGCAGTGGACAGTGAGCTGCGCCTAGCAGGCAGGTGGATTTCACTCTGATTGTTCCACCCTGTCTGCTGCCTGTCAGGGCAATTTCATGCTGGTCAGCTTCACAGCGATCAGTATAAGGTGAACAGTTAGCCAGGTTCTGCTGTGCGCCAGTCTGTTTTAGATGTATGGGGATTATTTTTGTTAGTTGCAGGCCCATTAGTTTCATAGTGCACAGGTCCCCAAGCCACTGATCAGTTGTGTGCGGAGCTGTTTTATGCCAAGGGGTTTATCCCTGGTGTGAAGGTCAATTTCACTGCCAGATGTTGCTTCCCAGGTTAGGGGAATTTTTTTCCCCTTTCTCCATCTGATCAGAATTCTGCGGCAAAGGTTGAATAAACCCACTTCACTTATTTCCTGGATCCTGGGGGCAGCCAACCCCAGTTGAGGAACTGGGAATGTGTAAGGACCAACACCTGGCCACACAGGTGGGGAGTCCTGCCCAGTGCCATGGCCCTTCACAAGCAACCCCTGGGGTCTACTTTGTCCCACAGGTGCACAGCTGAGCCACACACATCTCTCTATGTAACCATGGATCTTGTGCTTCTTTGGCAAGTCCTCATGGGGAACATGGCAAGCTGGCCGCTCCTGCTGTCTCCAGGATGGCTTCTGCCTTTTTCTTTCTAGTAGGCTAAGGAGTCTGCAGGGAGCCGCGCGGTTCTGACTGCGGCAGGAAGGCAGTGTGAGAGCCAAGTCTCGTCCCAGCCCACAGCTCCGTGCGGGTGCCTGCCTGTTAAGCCCATTCGCTGGCCAGACCCCTCAGCCACCACCTGCCAGGAGTGATCTATACTCAGTAGCATTTGTTTCAAAGAAATGCAATAAATTTGGGTAAAGAAAAGCCAGTCAGGTCGCCCCGGTCCGGGGAGAGATGAAGAGCTGATGTGAGGTAGAATGAACCAGTGTTGGAGGGGAGAGGGTCTTCCCTCCCTCTGCCCTCCCCCTTCAAACTTGGGGTTTGTGCAGAGTAAGTGGCTTTGCTCTTAAAGACCGTGGGATCCACACCATCTCCACTGACCAACCAGATCAAGACAGACTTCTACATTTATTTTTAATATTGTAAATATGTTTATTGATATGAATTAACAACCTCAGCAAGTATGTGGTATACATCTTGGGAAATGCACCCTTGTCAAAGCCAGATTGTTTACAGGAATCCCAGTGTTTCCAGCAGTGCACTGGGGCATACATCAGCAGCTAGCTGCACGTGATGGTGAAAGTTCTGTGCTCTTCAACCCTTCCCTTCTGTGCACGGGCTCTCCACAAGAGTCTGGGGGGAAGAAGCTGTCCGTATTAGTCTTATTACTGTAAATGGGGCCAGGCTACATCCGTCATCTTTCCCATAACCGTCAATTGTAAACATACTTTAAAAGAGAAAAACAACAACGGGATTTAATGTTACCACTGGGAAAATGCTTAGCCCTGCACTTGCTGGTGAATTGGCAGGCTCTCTCCTGTCCTTTGGGAGGGAAGTTAAGTGCTCCGTGTGTTTTGCTTTTTCCATTGAACTTCTAAATTTCTCAGGGGTCTTCTTTTGTCTCTTTTGTTTCATGAGCGAAGTCCTTTGTTAACGTGTCAAGGATGGATAAAAGTACAGTGGTTGCGAAAGGACAGGGGAGTGGAGTGCAAGCTTGGCAAACTGAGTCTCGATCTTTTTTGTTGTCATTACCAATCTTCCTACAGCCTGCTTTCTGCCTTATCGTTTCTTCTGCTGCAGCCCAGTTTTGCTCTGGAATAAGGAGATGAGAAGATAAGGGAGTGATGGAAAAACCAGGAATCAGAAAAAAAAAAAAAAAAAAAAAAAGGAGAGAGGCACAAAAGAGGCATGAAAGGAGAGAGCTTCACTTTGGTTTTTACACCATCATCAAATACCATGGCGGGCTCCCTCCCAGAAAGCCCAGGTTTAAACACCTCTTCCCCGTGTGAACGAACCCCTGGCCACACACACATCCATCACCTCACCCATGCACCCCAGCAGACACCAGATTGTCTGCATTCACTTCCTAAAACCCACCCAGTGCGTGACGTAAAACACAAGAAGTCACAGTGAAACCCAACCCTAAACTCAAACCAACTGCTGGCGGTTATTAAATTCATTTTCATCCATGCAAGCAATGCTCCCAGAAAGTCTATTAAAAAAAAAAAAAAGAGGGACAAAAACCAAAGGTGGCATGGGAAGAGAGATCAGAAAGAAAAGCCCCAGAAACCAGAGCAGAAATTAATTCAATTACCTCTTCTCCCCTGCCATAAATTCCACAGAGGAAATCGAATCTTTCTGTGCATGTGTATAAAAACCAATCAGTCTAGTGAGCTCGCCAAAACCCATTATGTCTCAAACTGGGTATCCTAATTGAATGAATCTGAGTGTAGCAGGCGACCAGGCGTCCGTGGAACCAGGTTTTTCCAAGGGCGCTTGCCACGGAGCCAGAGAGGATAAACACTGGTTGGAAGCACACACATGCTCATCAGCTTGCTTGCGGAGAAGGGGACCCGCTCTGAGCCCGGGGGAGAGTCGTGGAGCCCTGCACTGGCAGATGCATCCTAACATTTTGCGTCAGATTGTAATGGAATATTTCTCGTAAACAGCCAAGTGTCTCTCCCAGCCACTCACCTGACATGTTTTTTGTTGTTTAGCTTCAGATCTGACAGATGATGATAACCTGGAAAAGAGAAAGGTTACACATGCTGAGGGCTGTGGGGCTGGCCAGTGTAAAGAGCTCAAGAATGAGGACAGGGCTGTGATTTGTAGGGCCAGGAAGGAGCCGTTATGCAACCCGAAGCAGAGCAGGGCGGCTGGGAGAGGCGGCTGCCGAGCGTGAGCGGGAGGGGAGCACGGCTCAGGCACCAGTACGCGGGGCGGCTTTCGGCTGCGGAATGTGCCACTTGCTTTGCATTTCATTTTGTTCGTTGCGAGTGCCCCCCGCCCCATCCCCCTTTCCCCTCTCCCACTCCCTCCCTAGCGCCCTCCTCTCTGATTTATAGCACCTGTTAAAAACACATAATGGATGCAATTAGCTGTGGCACTAGAGGAAAAAGGTAGGAGTTGACTTTATTCCAATGAAAGATAAATGTGTTTGTTTTCATTAACTTAGTTCATTAATTTGAGTTTCTGGGACCAATTTTAAAAAATGATTGCTGCTTTCTTTGCCACATGGGAATCAGCCGAATAGGTGTTGGTTCTCAGAGTTTAGTGGGTGTCACGTTCCCAGTGGGGCGGGAACTTGTGTTTCAAATGCAGGGTTTTCTGTAGGTGACGGGTAAGCAAAGGATGGCAGTTTCATTAAGGCTGGACAGCAGTTTCTGATGCAGGAACGACGCTTTGAGAATAGGACTTGTTTGGAGGTAGTAGTAGGTACTCAAGTGTAACGTCTTTACAGATGAACATCCTTCTGTCTTTACTGGCCTGCTCCCAGCACCAGCGCATATCTGCACATAGAAGGGACTCAAGAAAATACTCCGCAAAAGAAAGAATTGGTGAAAATAAGCTGTGGGATAAGACGACTTCTTAAGTCCCCACTAACCCCTGTAATCTATTTTTTTTTTTTTTAATTCTCAGCTCTGGGAAAAAAATGTAATTGCACAAACTCAGATGCATTTGTCACTTGGACCCTTGACATTCGAACATGTGTATGTTTCTTCTCCCAGTCTTGTCACTTGATCTGACAGCTTTCAGCTCACTGCAGCTGATACTAGTTGCAGCTGATACTAGTTGTCCTTGCCTGAGGCAACCCAGCCATCAGCATGGACTGGAATTGGGTAGGGTAGTCCCCACCTTGTAGCAAACAAAGTAGTCGGAGTAGACGTTTTGAGGCTCCAGCAAAATCACACAGACAGCACCAGAAACACGATCGCTGGGCATTTTAGTCTACAGATGTGTAACTCTTTCCTGAATCCTTGAGGCAGATCCCCTGGCCATCACAGTATGCTAACAAGGACAGCCGACAGCCGGCCACTTAATCTCTTGCTGTGTGCCGTGCACTTCACACACATTTCTCATTTAATCCTGGCAGCAACACCATTAACCCCATTTAACAGACCTGGAGTTAATGGCCACGGTTCCTCAACTAGCACACTGGGGAACTAGGACTGACTCCAGAGGCATTGCTTTTACTCAGTACAATTATAAATGTGGTGTAGTGGGGGACATGGGGGGGAACAATGAAATTGCCCAAATGTTTTAATTCTCCAACAATGACAGTGTTAGACAACAATAAATTATAACAAATAACACTAGTCAAAGAAGAATATGAACCTGCCACTCAGACAGCTTCATTTCTTCACCCCTAACAAAGAATCCCTTCAGATACACTCAGTTCATACTCATCAGTTTTAATTGTGGTATCTGGAGCTCATCAGGTTACATCTAGGTGACTTGTCATAATGAGATTGGATGCATCCCCAGCACCTACACATAGATATTACAACTAAATACTTGTTGAATGAATGAGTAAACGAATGCTAGCATGCTCAATACAGACAATTCAGAGGCAAGGTCATTACCAGTATGGTCATCCAGGAATCAGTGGTACAGGACAGTCCTGTCACTCCCTGTGGACTTTGGGAAGGACTACACTTTAGGAGGAGAGTTGACACAAACCGGATATTCAGCATCCTTGCTCACTGTTGGGATCATCTTAAATGCATTTTTTAGGTAACAGCTTTATTGTTATGACTTCCCTTAAATGCAAACATTTTCAAGAAACTTTTAATTTTAGATTAATTCTGGACAGAAAATTTGCAAAGATGATACTTAGTTCCTGTATCCCTTTATCCTTCAATTTCCCTATTTAAACAATTTATTTGTTTGTTTTTATTTATTTGAAAGGCAGAGACACAGAAAGAGAGATGGACTGAGAGCTCTTCTATCTACTGGTTCACTATCAAAATGTCTGCAACATCTGGGGCTGTGCTGGGCTGAAGCCGGGAGCTCAGAACCCAATCCAGGCCTCCCATGTGGGTGGCAGAGACCCAAGGACTTGGGCCATCATCTGCTGCCTCTCAGGAGCATCAGCAGGGAGCTGGATCAGAAGCAGAGAAGGGACTCAATCCCAAGCATCTGACATGGGGTGCATGCTTTGCAAGCAGCGGCTTGATGTGCTGGACGGCAACAGCTGCCCCTGGAAACGGGACTTTATAATTAAGAAATAAATACTCACAAGCAAAGTGTACATCCTAAAACATAATTCTTATGAGAGGAGATAGGCAATAAGAGAAAGTGCCTAGGACACGGGCAACTTTGGTGATAACAGCAGCAGCACTTCTTTGCACTCAGAATACAGTAGGCAGTGTATTAGTAGTCACTGACAGAGGTTATCTCATTCAGTCCTCACAGGCGCTTCAGCAGAAAAAGGCATGTAAAGAAATCCATAGTGCAAGTAAAGAAACTTAGGCACAGAGAATTTAAGTAACCTGTTCAAGATTGTCCACATGTAACGGGCAGAACTGTTACCTGAACTGAAGTGTTTCCCCAAACACATTTATGGAAGAACAGAAAAAGAGGGAGGGAGGGAGGGAAAAAAGATATGAGAACAAATGGTCCCCTTCTTAAGAATACTTTGATCTGGGCTGGCGCTATGCCATAGTGAGCTAAGCTGCTGCCTACAGTGCCAGCATCCCTATGGCGCCGGTTCTAGTCTCGGCTGCTCCACTTCCAGTCTGCTCTCTGCTATGGCATGGGAAAGCAATAGAAGATGGCCAAATGCTTGGGCCCCTGCACCCACGTGGGAGACCCAAAAGAAGCTCCTGGCTCCTGGCTTTGGATCGGCCCAGCTCTGGCCATTGTGGCCGTTTGAGGAATTAACCAGAGGATGGAAGACCTTTCTCTCTGTCTCTTCCTTTCTCTGTCTGTAACTCTACCTTGCAAATAAATAAATCAAATCTTTCAAAAAATAGCTTGATGAATGAAATGGATGTCTGAGATACCTGTTTTTAAGATTTATTTTATTTATTTGAAAGGCAGAGTTAGAGGGGAGGGGGAAAGAGATGGAGAGAGAGAGAGAGAGATCTTCCATGCACTGGTTGACTTCCCAAATGGCCACAGCTGCTGGGGCTGGGGCTGGGCCAGGCTGAAGCCAGGAGCCAGGAGCTTCTTCTGGGTCTCCCATGTGGGTTTAGGGGCTCAAGTACTTGGGCCATCTTCTGCTGCTTTCCCAGGCACATTAGCAGAGAACTGGATTGGAAATGGAGCAGCTGGAACTCGACGTGGCATCCACCTTGGGTGCAGGCACTACCGGCAGTCGCTTAACCCTCTTTGCCACAGCAACAGCCCCTGAGATACCTGTTTTTGTCCCGGCATCTGTGTCACCTGGGAACTGGTAAGAAGTGCATCTAGGCCCCACCTCAGACCTACTGAGTCAGAATCTGTGTTCTGAAAGCATTCTAAGTTACTTGTTTGCATGCTATATTTGAGAAGCCTAGTAATCAAAGATAGTTACTATAGGATCTGTTTTAAAAAGATTGATGTGACACCCCTATCCCATCTCAGAGAGCCTGGGATTGAGTTCCCACTCTCTTCCAGTTGAACTTGGGAGGCAGCAGATAATGGCTCAAATGCTTGCGCCCCTGCCACTTATGTGGGAGACCCAGATCAAGTTCAGCTTGGCCCAGCCCTGGCTGTTGCAGCCATTTGGGAAGTAAAACAGTGGATGGAAGATCTCTCTCTCTGCCCTCCCCCCTGCCTTTCAAAGAAATAAAAGCAAATAACCCATTTGAAAAATATGTGTGTCCAAGGATCTTCACATGTTTGTGAAAAATGTAATTATCTTTTATTTCCATTTTCCAAGAATCTGTCAAAGTGTGTGTGTGTGTGTGTGTCCATCTAGGCTGCCACCACCTTGCTCAGAAATGGTGGCCTAGCTACAGAAATCAGAGGTTCTCAAAGAACAGGTGATGGATGTTTCAGGGGTTGTGAAAACATCTTAATGGATTGCATGGAGGTTAACGTAAAAAAAGTAGAATAGAAAATTTCAGAATGCATCTCATCCAGGAAGGGGCAGCATTATTCCATGAGGCTTCTCCTTCAAGTACATGTGTGTGTGTGTGCTGGTCTCAAGGTGCAATGGCCATTTCCTGCGCGTTTCACCCGACCTGACGGCCTTCAACCCTGCCCTGAGGCAGCCCTGAGATTCCGGCTTCCCTTTAGAGGTGTGGTGGACCTGCTTCCTATTTCTGATAAATTAGGAACTCCAAAATCAGAGCTGGATTGGTGGGGGGTGTTTGGCTGTCTCTGGAATGACCCATGCCAGTCTCTTTCCTTTCCAGGGGCAGAAAGACAGGCCGAGGGAGAGGAGGGACTTGCCCAAGGTCACACAGCGACACTGGCACTTTGGAAAGAGGAGTGTGACAACGTCCTTTTTGTCTCAACCATGAAAGTCCTGGGGTCCGGGGGGATGTGGTCTGGAGGCCAGGCAGCCTGGGGGAACATGACTCTGGAATGTGTTGGGGAAACAAGATGCCTTCTCTTCCAGGCCCGACAAGCCAACAGGCCTACGTGTGGCAAGAAAGGGCCCTGGTTATCGGCCACCCGCCTCTGTTGCCTCTGTTTCGTTTGGTCTGTCAACTCCAGCAGCAAAGTGCCCCAAAGGTGTGAGGCTTGATAAAGGTGGGACAGTAAGAGGGTGGAGGTGGCAGGACCTCAGGGAAGCGAGCCTGAGAGAAGTCC